CTGGGATGGAGTGGCAGGATGAAGGGCCCAGGCTGTTTCTGGGGTTGGTTTGCGTGGTGTAGGACACTTTCTCAGCATGCTATAGTGGAACTGAGATGACCAGCTAATGGTGATGGGCCTTATGTTTGAGGCCACTTATGATGGCTTGTCATTTGTGATGTATCTTTGTGACAGCCAAAGAATTTTGTGGCTCATCCAACCCACAGCACCTTTACTTGGGAAGGACACCTGAGCCTAGCAATGTGCGTAATGACAGGTGCTGCACCACGGCACGTCACAAAAAAACCATCATGGAATGATGGCATTGTGCTCTCTCCGTCTCTTTGGAGGCATCCTTGAAAGTCAGAGTCAATTCCTTGCCTCACAACAGCAGATTGGTGCATTTGGATGTGACAGCAACTGGGCAGGGTGTGGGAACTCCTCTGAGCACTGGGGAGATGGGGGATTCAGCTCTTTTAGTGGGGCCGAAGAGTGCTGCTCTGAAAAGACACTTGGAGCTGTGGGAATGAGGGAAGTTCCAAAAGTGAAACCCACAGCTGCCCTCTCCAGCCCTGCTACTGCTCTGCTCAGAGCAGGGACACCAGGGAAGAGCTCCAGACAGGACTCACTCTATCTGTGTCTCAGGTCTAAAAGAATTAACAGGATGATGGCTTTGCAATATCTTCTGAAGATATTGCACGTGATCAGATGTAGCTAATTCAATGCTTGGCAAAACCAGGTTAACCCAGCTGGGCTGTATATTTAACACAGCTCCTGGGCAGCTGGAATGAGTAGATACAATCATCATGGAGACACACAGCAGCAGCAGCAGCAGAGGACCATGAACACAGGAGGTTTTTTGCAGGGACCATGAACTGTCCCATACATCACCATCACAATGAGAGTGGAGAGAGGGGGTCAGACCATCCATATTTTCTGTCTGGTTCCAGCACACAATCTTATCTTCTGTTTGACTCTCCCTTTGCTGCCAGTGCTGGTTGCTCCCAATGTGGCATCAAAGTATACATTCCCCTGGATCTGCAACCACCAAAAGCTTCTCTCAATACACAAAAAAAGCTTAAAGTCCCTCTGTATGAAACATTTGTTACACATTAAAAGAAATCTGTGTTATGGTAAAAACAATCCGTTCAAATGAAGCTGCCTAATCATGATTATAAATGGGTGATTCCATTTTCAAATTCTGCTTTGCTGACACCAAAACTAAAAATTGTAGAGAGGGAAAAAAAATGGAAGCAAGTGAAATGGTAAAGAAAATATTAGATATTGCTCTTCCCATGTTTTCAAAAGACAGAAAAATTTAGGAAAATTCTGCCATGTCAACAAAAAGTGATGATGTAGGCTGCCACTACTGCCAACAGAAACTATTTAAGAGTCTGCAAAACAAAAAATTGGGTTGGAAAGCTGCTATTTTCTGAGACAGAACATGGGGTGTCCGTGCTCTGCAGCTCTATTTCTTCCATGCTTCTCCATATATCTCAGTAACAAAAAGTGCTGGAAAAAATGGCCTGTGGGGATGGTGTTGAAAGAACTGGCACGGTTGTTTTCCTAGAAAGAAAGACTGAGGGAAAATTTAAAAAGAAAGAGCAGGGGAAGAGGAACAATGTCGTCTTTGTCTTAGTGCACAATGAACAAAGGAAAATGCTGTGACAGTGAATGGATATTCAAAAGAAATCAGGGCAGTCGGTCACAGCGCTGCCAGGCAGTCTCCATCACAAGGGGCTTGACAAGAAGGCACTCACAGATGAGCCAGTCCTGTCCACAGGGACAGACAGCCAGGACCTTGCAGAGATGCAGTGACCACAGGTGCTGGCTCCAGGCTGTAATTCATGAGTGAAATGCCTAAGAGCAGAATCAAGGTCACAACATCACAGTGCCCACAATGACTCAAACCAATGAAAAATGGAGTGGGAGAGAGTTGGGGAAGGGAAACACCCCCACCCCACCCTCCACCACCCAAGAAATTAAATGGTGATAAATGACATATCTGTCTGATGGGATGTGGCTGTTGCTCTCCCTGAGTAAACCAGGACTGTACCTTATCTACTCCTTCAAAGTGAGGAGATTTTCCCCTTGAGGGGTGATGCTGTCGTGGAGGCAGCTGAACATGCAGAGCTGGAACAATACATTTTCCACCCAGCTTACTTTGCCATGCAAACAGAATGAAAACTTTTTCTCAAAAGGAAAGCCTGGCTGACAAAATAGCAACTTTTACAATAGGCAGCTATTTCAGGGTAATACTCCATCCTGGGAATGGGCAATTTCCCAACCCTGGCAGCCCCGTCCTCCTCCTCCTCCTCCTCCTCCTCCTCTTCACTCTTTTGCTCCCTGGGGCCAAGCTGGGAGGACTGGGATGGAAATGAGCTCCAGCTGACCCAGGACAACCCAGTGCAGCAAGGATTTTCCAACCATAGGGAGCATTGCTAAGTCCCATCTGGCTTTAGAACCCCTGGACTTGCTTTCTTTTTCTTTTATCCTTATTTTCCTTTAGGATGAAGCAGATTAAACCTAACTGCTGACTCCTAGCAGCTGGTTCCCACGGAGATGGAGGAGTGGTGGACAGCAGCAGGACACACTTTGCCCTGGCAGAGTGAGGGGCAAGCAGCAAGCAGCTCCAGCCAGCAGCCAGTGCTCAGCACAAAGCCTGACTCAGCCCACCAAAGCTGGCACCAAGGCAGGTGTTCAGCCCTACCAAGTGGAATGTTACATGTTCTGGGAATAATGTGGAAAACTAGTAAGAAAAATAAGAGCTGCAGTTTAAGGAAGGAGATTAAATTGCAAAGAGAGGTACAAGCTCTTACCTGGTGGCCTTGTGGCTGTTGCCTTCTCTGTTGGTTTGCTCAGGTAGCTGCAGCAAAAGGGACACGGCTCCAACTGGCAGGAGCTTACCCTGCTCAGCACTGGGGTCATGCCTTGCATCTGAGTCAGCCCAAGCAATGAGTAATGTGCCTAATAAACATTCCTGGAGACAGAGAGCAGCACATGCAGGCCAGTTCCTGCGAAAATGACTAATCACTCTGCCATTCCCTGTCCACCTTTCCCTTCTCCTTCCCTGACCCTGCGTCAGTGGGGAGGGTGGCAGAGGGTGAGAGGGGCAGAGCCTCCACATGTGGTCAGATGTTCCTGATTTTCTTGTATCTGTCTCCTGTTCAGCCCTTGAAGTGGAAACCACAGTGGAAACCCATGCCCCAGCTATACAGGAAGAGCGGAGACGTACAAGAGGGATGTTTCTCAGACTGTCTTTAGAAGGATGCAGGAAGGATCCTTTTTTTAACTATTTAAACTGCTCGGCCTGCACCGCTGCAGTTGCACTGCTCCTGCTCAGCCTGCACTACTGCAGGGTGATGTTGCCAGTCCCGAATTCTGATAGGCAGAGTTGGAATCAGGCATATGGGGAGCTGCTCTTCTTTTCCCACAGCAACGACAGAGGTATTTCCTACCCAAGCCCCTCCCTGCCCGACATTTCAGAAGAGCTGCTTTTGTTTTGGAGAAGCACCGCCTCGTACCAAAGCACCCGGTATTCTGCAGTAAATTATCTTAAAATAGAGACCTCTCCCACCAGATGTTTGTCTTGGAACTGGTCTCCAAACTCTGTGACAGGAACGAAAGGATGGGAAAGGCGAGGCACGTAAGACAGAGCAGAGGATGATGCTGTTTGTGCACCACGGTAGAGCCCCATCCACAGCAGCCCAGCATGTCCAGAGGATCAGGGGTACAGCCAGACAAATCTCCCTACTCTGTGCCAGGTCACGACAGGTCACTAGCGTCTGGAAAACCCCTCAAGCTCATAGGATGTGAATTTTCCCTCTCAGGCAGCCAGCAGCTCAGACACGACCCAAGGCTGTGTCAGGCCACTCCCACAGGGCTACACTGAGTAGACAAAAAAATCTTCAGCCTCCAGAAATTTTAGTTTTCACTCCTTTTCCAACTCTACACATTTTCCTTTTATATCCCAAGGCATCCAATTCCATTTACTTTTGTTTAAAAGGCACATCTTGATCTGGTATATTTTATCATGCTTTTTCCCAGCCATAGAGGATTTCTCCTTCCCCATGGGGCTCCCAAGCCAAACAAAACTTTGCTTCTCCTGGGAGGAGAGCCATGAGTGTCTCCAGTTCCTCTGCAAGCTGAAGTCTGTGTCTTCTACAGACTTTTTCTCCCAAAGTATCATTTGAACAGGGGGCAGACACAGGTGCACATCACATGATGGCACCACCGCTGCCATTTTCCTTTTATTTTCTGTTTGTAGTAAGTGCCTGCATTTGTTTTTGACCACTGCTACTTTAAGGAGCACAAGATCTTTCATCTAAGAGATCAGGGTGTCCCTTTAGCATGCAGGACAGGAGCTGGGGTATCCTTGGCAGGAATTTGTCTGTACCATTATCTAGGTGTAGATGGGCTGAATCTAGGGAATGTGTGTGAGCTCTCAGGGGGCCAGGAGCACTCTGAGCACACTAAAAATGCAGCCGGAACCTCCTCACATCCATTGCTTTCACCACATCAGGTCCTTTCAGCTCACAGGCATTCCGATGAGCCTGTGCCCCTGGGGAAGTTTGTGGCTCCCCTGCCACAGGCACGGCAGGCTGTGGGGTGCCCTGCTGCATGGCTGGTCTCTCTTCCTCCCCCCAGCCCCTTCACAGGCTCACTCATCCACTTTGAACAGAGAATTAAGGAAGAAAAATCTCCAAGTTATGAAATTCTGGACCACTCTTTCAGTGTCTCAACAGCACTCTGTTTGCCTGCTTAAATTATACTTTGGCAATCAAGGTTGTGCAAGTGCTGGTCCAGTGCCTAGAAAACATAACATTTTAAGAGGACTGTGACCTAGCAAGGTCTCTTGCAATAGCTTTTCTCACTTTTCTAAAAAAAAAAATAAAATTATAATACCACAGTAGCAAGTATTTGCTCCTTTTTTTTCCTAATCTTTTAATCTGTTTAAGACAGGAAAGCTTCATAATGTACAATTTTAAACTGTCAAAATTTACAGAACAAAAAGAGTCAAATGTAAAACTGGTCATAACTCACAAATATCCCCATTAAAACTGTATAATACAGACATTAAGCCACAGGTCACTTTTCTATTTTTAGGAAAGTGTGCAAAGAGCTAATTGTATAGTACATGTAGATGTTAAAAGTGATGCCATGTAAGCAGGTCTGCTGCTGGTGCTATAAAAAATAGACAAGTATAAAATTACTTCTACAAAATTGGTTCATTTTTTTTGTTGCTTGTAATAAAAAAGTAGACTTGTAAGAACTTTCCTCCTCAACAAACAACAATGTTTTGAAACCAGTCATTGTAACTGTTATCCTGCTACACAGGATGAAACATAATTTAGCTAAATCAGAGAGTGGTAGGGAGAACAGCTTGTTCCAGAACCCACATGTGAATGCAGGAGTATGCTGCCCGATGGTGCATTTGTTGAACAGCACAGTCACTGTATCACTGCAGGGTGGGATGATTGCAGGTGTTTCAAGGTTGCTTCCTCTGATACTACAAAAGATAACCTAAGGACCACAAAACACAGTCACTGAGCTACTCGTAACATCACACTTTGCCGTTTGCACTAATGCACAACCCTTAGCACTCACTAAACACTTAAGGGGTAGAGGGCACGGTTCATACACAAAATGCTTGGTTTCATTTGGACAGGAAAGGAGAGGGAATGAGAGGGGAATAATGTTCTTTTTTTTCCTTGCTTTTGGGTTTCCCTTTGGCTTTGTCACCTTCCCAGACGGGCAGCATGGTCTGGCTGCAGGGGTCGGTGTCAGCCGGCTCCCGCTCAGCCACACACGCACGCACACGACGGGTCCTCAGCACCGGGGTCCCGCTCTTGTCACTTGGTCCCACACGTGTTGATGTTCTTCCCGTTGGCAGCATCCTCCACCAGCGAGATGTGGTAGTCAGTGGAGAGCGTGAGGTGGGAGATGCAGCCCACCAGCCCGCGCAGGTACTGCCGGTTCGTGTGCAGGGCGATTTCCCTCATGCCCCCTGCGGGAAAGGCAGCTCTCAGAAACTCCTCCTCACCAGCTCGGGCCTCTGCTCCTGCCTGGCAGGCTGCACACCCAGCAATGCCACCCCTAGTAATGCAACTCAGAAGGGAATTTTGATTTATAGGTTGCTTTGTGTTGTTTTAAGTAACGGTTTTAAGCACTTGAAACTACAGAGGGGATAAGCAGGAGGTAATGAATTAGGACACTAATTATTTATTTCAGAAATTGTATCATCAGTAAGAGCTGAGTCAGCTTGTGCCCAGGTGTGGGGTTTCTAGCTGCCTCTGGCTGTTTCTCTGTGTACCTGCCAGGAGTACACAGGGTGTCCTATAGTGCTCATCCCTCCTGATTCCCATTCCCCCGTTCCACTCAGAGAGGCCTCCTCACACAAAACTCCTGTGGCAGACTGGAGGCTGCTCTGTGACACCTCCACCAGGAGCTGGACAGAGCTGGACAGCCCTGCCTTGCAGCTGACCTCACTTATGTGTCCTGAATGTGAATAATTAGCACCCACCTATGTAGAGATCTCCATTGATATTTAACTGCCTCATCTTCCCAGGGGATTTACCGGTCCTGGCACCATAATCGTCCACGGTTACTTTGCCAGACTGTCCATCCCTGAAACAAAAAGCAAACCACTCTCATTCATCCAGCCTACAGTCAGAAGGGAGGAGGAGCAGTGGCATTTCCACTTGCCAGGAGACCACAGCAACTCAGAGCTGAGCTGGGCTCATGGTGAAGGCTTGGATGGAAATGGGAAGCCCCACAGACACAGTGTACTCAGGCCATCCAGACTTTTCAGGTTTTAGGATTTTTTTTTATAGATGTAAAAGACCTGCAAAGTGTGCAGGACACATTTTCAGAGCAGAAAGTGCTGGAAAATAATCAGATTGTACAGGTAGGGGACAGAGGGGAAGGGCACATTCTGACCTATTGTTAAAAATCAAATATAATGTTAAAAGTGAAGAGCAGAAGTTTCAACACCAGGGAAAAATGGGCAAGCTATGGTAAAACTTACTTTTAGGCAGTTTTGTTACTCACTAGAGATATTTTACATATGGTTAATAACAGTATTAACAGGAAAGCTACTTGATGGGTCCTATTCTCCCTGAATTTGGTAACAAGTTGAGCTAAATGTGATTTCCAGGGAATCAACCTCTCATAAAGAGAGGGATGTATGCTTTCCCTGCTGGACACAGCTGCCTCCCATGAGGTAATGAGTTATAAATATGAGTTATATATGCACGGCAAGATGTCTGCACCTCCTCCAAATAGAAAAACTAGGTTTACACTGTCTGTGCTCCAATGCTTGTGCCAGCCCACAAAACGCTCACCAGGGAATTTTAAAATGCAGACATTAAAGAAAAATACTCTTGACCGAAATGGTACGGGTTTAACAGAATGTCTGTCACAGCCCCAGAATAGCCCTGCATGATTTTGGCAGCCTGCCCTGAGCTGTGCCGAGCTGGCACTGTCACCTCAAACACAGCAATCCTTGTGCACTTCATCCTGAAACAGCCAAGCTGCTAACAGCTCCACTCCTAAGCGAGGTGTGAGTGTGGAGCCGCAGTGATTCACACCCCACCAGCCCCCAGGGACACCAACCAGCATCTTTAATGGCAGGGTGGCCCCCAGGTGCCCCCAGATGGAGCCTGCCCACTTATTGAACAGCTCTGGCTCTGTGCCACCCAGATCCCCCCAGATGGAGCCTGCCCACTTATTGAACAGCTCTGGCTCTGTGCCACCCAGATCCCCCCAGATGGAGCCTGCCCACTCACCGAACAGCTTTGACTCTGTGCCACCGGCCGTCGCTGAAAGAGCCGTTCACTGTGATGGAGGCAATGCCGCTGCCCAAATTGTAGCTACAGTTAAAAAAAAATTGAAATGTTACTGCCTTCCTTGAAAGGACCTGCTCAGGCATCCTTACTCCCTTTTGGCTCAGATTCTGGGGCAAGCAGTGGAGTCCCAGCAGCAGTGCTCTTATTTTGTAAAGTCAGTCTCATGGACAAGCAGGAGAACTCCCTGAGTCAGAGTGGGTGCCATCACCACCTTCCCATGGGAGCAGGATGAGAGCCTCTGCATGGCCATTCTTCCCCAAAGCAGGTGACTCTCAAGGTCAGTGATCTACAGTTCCAAATATGGCAAATAAATAAATTTCTGCAAGACCAAATAAGCATGCAACCCATAATTGGTCTACAAACCGTCTGAAATATAGGGAAGGTTTAGACCTGTGATGTTAGAAAAGATGAAGTCTAATAAATGCAGCTGCTTCAGCTTGCCACTCTAATTATTTCTTTGTGCGTGCTTCTACTAAAATAACTCAGCAGATATAATGTCCCCATCATGTTTACACTTCAGGCATCTTAATTTCTGGGTCCCTGAAGCTTGGGCCAACCTTAACAAAAGAGAAGTAGCTGCTACAGCACAGTGAGCTATTGAGTGCTCCGGATGAGCTAGCTGCTGCTGGACTTCAGCCTGTACAAAGCAGGAGGGATTAAAGCCAACATCACCATCTCTCCAAAAAAGACTGAACATGGAATGAACTCATGGCCAGGCTGAGGTTCTGAAGAACAGCACATTAAACTGTGAGCTGTCCAGTGCAAGCTGGTTACCCTAAATTTGTGTCCTCTCCAGGGGTTTAAGTGAGTCTCAGGCAAGCACCCCCTTTTACCCAGGATGCAGACACCAGTCTAGGTCAAAAACAACAAGAGGATTTGAGTGTTCAGGACTGCACCAAAATGTTAGACCTTTGATAACATAAATGAGATTCATATCCCTTATGAATCCCACTACAACAGCTATCTCCCTACAACAGTGGAGTAACCTTTGACAGAAGCAGGGTGCAACAGAAAGAATTTCTAGCAGTAAGTACACTGTACAGGGAATAAGGCCATAGAAAATGGGAAAGTAGAAGTGTGGTTTGGATTTCAAATTGGATCAGAACACAGACATCTAAACTTGAACTGCAGGAAAATTCTTCAGACAAATTCACAGCCCTGATAGTCTCTTGACTTCACCTCTCAAAAGATGAAAATCTAGCATGAGGATCAAGCTTTCAGAATTTTTTTTCTGCATTTGTCCTTTCACCATCTTCTCCGATGCTCCCCTTCAGTAAGCAGTTATGGCTTATGAGGGTTTTATTTTGGTAGATTAATTTTTCACCTTCCTAAATTAATGTGGAACGTACAAATATTTCAGTAAAATTCAGCTGGTTTGGACTAAAGCTTTTGACTACCTCTGAGGAAGAGCAACAACCTAATAAAAATTGCACTGTGTTTTGGAAACAGAACAGAGTGGCCACTTAGTATCATGCATGCTAGAAAGACAGTCCCTTCCAAAGACATTTAAACAACACACCCCTTCTGCAGAGTCAGTTCCTTGTTTATAAATCAATGAGGAAACTAAGAGTTTTTGCCAAGTTAACCACTGTTAAATCACATTTTTAAAAAAAGCTTTAAAAGAAATTAATTTAAATAGAAATGTGCAACTTATCTATACATTCATGGTAGCAAAGAGCAGCCAGTTAAGTAAAGTAAAAAAAAAATAGCTTGAATAATACTCTCTGCCACATGATCAATGGTATCTCACAACAATCCATGACAGTGATGGCATCTGTGATTTGCTGTTTCAGTGTTTGTCTAACACAACCTAAAGGAGCACCATGAGGTGCACAAGCCTTTCAAAACACAGGACTCCCAAAAAAGCACCATGCAAAGACTTGCACAGGGTGTGCCTGAGTGACTGCAAGGGAGAAAGAGATGCTGGAGCAAGACCCCAGCATTTCCCAACACTCCCCAGTTTCACCATTTTGGCAGCGGTATTACTGCTTAATTAATGATTCTGTGGATGGTGGCAGAAACAAGGTGTGGTGACAGCTGTGTGTGTGCGTCACAGGGCAGGATATCTGGGGGTTTGGGGTGGTGGAAGCCCTGCTCCTGTGTGCACTGTCTGGCAAAGGGTGAGCCCACAGTGAGCAGTGGCACCACCAAAGTTTGTCTTTGTCCCCTGCCAGCCCTGCCCTGCTCCGCCTGAGACAGATTTAATGGGTATGGGGAGGGCTTACCAAGAGTATTCACCCCCTCATAAGAAGGCTTTCAGAAAATCACAATAACGCCCTGGTACCTGAAAAACTGGGAAGGAGGAGTGATGCAAATCTTGCAGCACATCACCTATTCAACTTACATTCCCTCCCAGACAGCAAATGGGAACCATCATTGAACAAAACTTTGAGGATGAGAGTGTCTCACACTGTGCCAAAGGACAAGTGCACTGTATGTGTTGCAGCAATTCCTTTGAGCCCTGTGTGTTACACAAACAAGGGAAAGAAAAGCTCACCTGAATATTAATGCTCCTTCCTGAAGGCCTAGAGAGATGAAATCACTGTTGGGTCGCATGGGACTGTTTCCCCTCCACATCAAAAGGCCTTCCTTCATTGTGGTTTTAAACCTCATGAACACGTTCGTTCTTGTTCCTGATACCCTGTTTAATGCAGAAGAAGGAAATAATAGTAAAATACTAAATTGTGCCAGTCTTCTTTCAAAAAGGCATAAAAGATGATGCAGTATTTAGTCTCTGCTGGTCTAGTGGGTTACTCTCCTGCAACTCATTTACATGCTGATCTGTGAAGGATTCTGGCTCACATCCCCATTTCCATCATTTCAGAGCATGGGAATTTAACTCATCTCTCTACACAATAACTGCAAGGTAATCCCATACAATTAAGAGAAAATCCTTTTATTCCACTAGCCTAGTGTGAAATCTAGCCCAAAAAGCAGATTTTGAGAATGCCCAGTAGCTGTGATGCCCTCAGAAGCCAGAGGAAGGAGCATTAGAAGGGCAAATCAGTAAGTCCCAGTAGGTGGGAGGTGAGGACGCTGGTGAACCCTTCTCTACTCAGTGACTGAAATAAAGGTAGATGGAGGAATTTGTTGAAACAAGCCAAAATTTGCTGGAATGTGGGGATGTTCTAGGATAGGAAGAGGTCAAAAAAGTAACCTTGAGAATCTAAATGTTAGGCTAAAGCAGGAGTTAAAAAGGAGTTAAGGTCCTTAGTCTCTTTTGAGACACAAGCCCCGTATGGCTATTCTTTGCCCTCAAGGAAAACCAGCCCCTCTCCCTGTTTCTTGACAGGCTGCAAGATGCACAAGTATAATAAACTAAGCCACAAGGATATGCACTTAAAATGTATTTTCCCCTGAAATTTAAAAATATGGCAGAAGTACAGTTAGAAATATTGTAAGTACAGCTTAAAACATGCACATATACTACTTTCTCTCACATAAGGCTCCTAACATTATAACATTTAAGAAACAGAATAATTAGGTCTACAGGAGATACATTACCTTTTCAGGATATCTGGATTATCATATGTGAGGTAACTGCGACCAATAAATTGTGGGATTTCAATTGCTTCTGTAATGGCTGAGAAGTAAATACAACAAAATGAAGATAAGTGTCAGATAGCTGACTTGGAAATGGAAGGAAAAAATGTGACACGACTCTATTACTGATTTACTGCTGCAGTGGCAGGTACCTACCAGTGGCACAGAACTGAGCTGAACCCACACTGCTCTGCAAACAGGCACTGCCAGATTTTGCCCAAATGTAGGGGCAGCAGTTAAGGGAGTTTAAATGGCTGACAGTCCCTCTGCTTACAGCCTCCATGTCAGGAGCCTAATGTATTGCTCCACTACAAATGTTAGTGCAGAAAATTACGAAGCATTGGGAAAACATTGCAAATTTTCTCTTTACCCCCATTTCCACATTCCTTGATTCTCTATGTGTTCCAACACTCCCTCTTGCCAAAGACTGTGTATTAACCACCTTTGTTTATAGGCTGAGAAACTCCTCCCCAGCTGCTAACAGAGCACCACATGCAGAGCACATTAGGGACCTCTCACCCTGCCAAGGAGGCTGAGGCAGCACACACAACCTGTGAGCTGCCCCTGTTTTCTGTTTCAGTGTCTGTGACTGCCCTGAGTGGCTGCTGCCTGCCCAGAGCTCAGCCCTGGGGTGCAGTGTGGGGGGCAGGCTGTCTCAGGGAGCAGTCACAGAGCCCCACATCACTTTAGTCTATTGAAAACAGCCGGGGCTATGCTAAAGGCTGCATGGCAGAGGCTGTGGAGCCCTTTGGTGCACTCAACACTGCAGTGTAGCCTTGGGGGTCTTCTTCTGTGTCCCCCATACAGCATTTCTCTAGGGACAGCCCCAGGTGCCCCTATGGTGTATGGCTGGGACAGTGGCAAACACTGCAGCCAGAACTGGAGTGGGTGCACTGCTGCCCACAGAGAAGACTTTGGCAAAATAACTCAGCTGTGTGACATAAACCACAGAACATCCCTGATACAGAGCCCTTCACCAGGCTATGGGCACCGGCCCAAACAGATTTTTTTGTTGAGTGAGCATCCTACAGTTTGTTGCTGATCTCCCATAACTGACTGCTGCATTAATATAAGCTAGTTGTATAAATTACTTAAAATAGGTGCCTTCATCCTATTTTCTTACTGAGGAATAATCCCTTCAACCCACAGCTAATCCCATCTATATAAATTTCAAGCTTTCCAGGGCAAGGATGCTTGCTTTCTTTACGCAACACAGGGTCTGTCTGGGCTTTCAGAGCTCACTGTGACACAGATATGCAACAATTGGTGTGTCTGGCAGCCAGCAACAGTAATATGAAATTTAGCTCTAGGTGCCAAGACTGAGAATTTTAGATAGTGATGAATGACTGTTTTCATCCTTAGTGAAATCAGGAAAGCTGCCTAATGTGTCTAAAGAAACCACCACAGGCCATGTCCAGCCTGCAGTCTGCCAATGGCGTTGGAAGATTGCAGAAAGTTGTGTTACACTGGCCAAACATTCCTCGCCAGGTCTGACACTTCTTGCACTGGACAGCCTCTGATGGCAGCAGAGCATGAAAGGAGCCCTTGTTGTCCCTCCACATCCTGCACTGGAGCCCCACTGCTCTTGCCTTGAGCAAGGGAAGGTGCCCATGCCATGCAGCCACCTTTGCCTGTGCCAGAGTACTCTGATTTCCTCTAGAGAGCTTAATGGGCATTTACCTCTGCTTGCTCTTTGTTTGTTTCTCTGAGTCTGAGTGCAGAAAAACAAGCAAATTTTAGCAGTGCCCTTGATGCAGCCAGGATCTTTGCAGTTGCAAGGGAGCAGAGCCAGTAAGGAGATCTAGGACTACACACCTTCATTCTTTGCTCATCATGATTCAGCAGACCAGCACCAAAGCCCTCATGCCAAGCAGGTGTGAGTTCTGGACTGCAGGGCAGCCTCAAGTCACAACACTAAACCCTCAGCCAGCTACCTGGCCCTCTGCTCTGCAAATACAGGGACAGCTCTATAGCCACTGTTCTGAGCTTGGCAAATGCGTTGGATGAAGTTTGAAATATCAACAGCATGATGTTTAAGGAAGTACTATATAACCTTAGAAAATATTTTGGCTTAATGACAGAAACTTGACAGGCTCAATGGAAACCCAGCATCCCGACAAACACACAATGACAGAGCAGTTTTCACACAATTTGCAGTACTTACTGTTCAGGCAGTAACTTCCACACTCTGCAATGAGTCAGCACAAAACAAAACAAGAACATTCTGGGTTTATTATTCTAAAGCATAAAAATCGCCTTTAGCCCAATTTCATATCCACTTTTCCACAAATGTGTAATCTCCCACCTAACATTTGCATAAGTGGCTACAATCATCTGTGAAGGTAGTACCATTTTCATAACTGGTTTGCTCCAAGTATCTATCTTTGTCTGCTCAAAACACACAAAGGGACAAACAGGTGGGACCAGCAGCAAATTCTTCTGCTAGTCCTGTTTCTCAAATCTCAGTGACTCACCAGATTTTACCCAGGGATCAGCTCTAGCCAAGAGAAAACAAGAGTTTTCTGTTCTATTCTATCTTACAGTTAAAGTATAAAAATATCTTTAGCACTCCTCCAGCTTGGACAGAAGATATAAAACTTAGCAATGCCAGCAAAAACTCTACTGAATTTTCAGCAAATGATCCATTACAATATGAATGAATATCTCATATACTTCATACCAGCATTATTTGAGGTTTTAAGTGGTGTGTATAATTTTGACCAATGAGGTGAGCTCCATCAAAAGCACTTTGTTTTTTAGGTTTTTTTACAACAGCCTATCACCAAGAAGGATGGAGACAGCACCTTCACCTCACATATCTTCTGAGTGCACTAACCAAAACCCTGTGGTGAAACAGAAGTGACACAGATGTGCATCTCACTTTAACAATGTCTACATCCCAACAGAGACACAGGTAAGGATTATTTTGAGGAATCTGTTTCAGGTGGTTCTCATCAAGGCTGAGGTTCAGCAGCAACTCCATGCTCTGTGCCCATCTATCAGAAAACCTTTCCATTTTTTCGGGCAGCTGAGGCTGCACGAGTTCAGGGAGGTTGAGCTGCACCTGAATAGGAGCCACAGGTATCAGGAACAGAAACCAGCTGGCTCATGCTTTTGGACACCCTTAAAAATGAATAAAGATTGGATTCACATAGGCAGCAGCACCCAGCATCTGGCTAAGTCATAGGCAAAAGTGCTTCAGACTGTCTCTGAAAGCCTGGACATCCACTGAGGTGACAACAGGGAGGACATGCCAGCCAAGTGGCACCACTGCTGGTAGCACGAGCTCAGACACTGTTCCCTGGGCTCAGCACAGGCCAGGAGCTGAGCAGGGGTGGGGAGCTGCAGCCCCAGCACTGCCCACCAGACAGGCAGGCAGTCACTCACCCGGCTGCAAAGCATTCCCGTGAATGACTGCCCTGGGACACGTGTTGGTACTGCTGCAGACATCATCTTGAATTCAGGAATTTAGCACCCTGCACATACCTAGAAAGTCAAAATCCCAATTCTCCTGCATCTCTACAAAAAAGCCAGTGTAAATGACGTTGTTCCAGCTCTTAGTTAGACCACAACAACGTAAGCAAAGAGGTTTCTCGCATTGCATTTTATTATAATGCTTTTGTTCTAAGATATTGTCTGTTTTGAAAAAATAGCCAATATATTCATTCCAATTTAACCAAAACCACTACATTTAACTTTGAAGTTTATGACTGTGAGAAATGAAGCAGTGGGTGAAGACAATAATGTCAGCCAGCTCTTTTGAACCGAGTTTACTGTTACATTACAAAACCTCCCCTCAGGAATTTTTTAAGATCAAGCTTGACAGAAGTAAAAAGACTCCATCTAGTGGAATAACCCAAAGCACAGTTTTTAAACACTTCTCTTGCAATCTTATCCCTTTCCTGAATCTAGAGTTTAAACTATTACAGTGGCTCCAAAGAAAAGAGAATAATGTGCACGTGGATGAGTTTTCTCCTTGGTGGTCTCCTTTGCCCCACCAAGGCAGGATCTGTGCAGATGGTGCAATCTCTCCATCAGAGCAGTCAGTGCCTAGAACAGGGGCAGACCCTTCTGTGTGTGAGAGCAGCGTTTGCTCTCAGTTGTATGGCAGATAAAATTACAAGGGCTATCCATGCCCATGCTTCAGGATGTAACATAACTGCTGGCTGGAGGACCCTGGCAGGAATTCCCCCTTTGCACTGCACGGCACAAGGTGGGATGTGTACCAAGTGTGAGTGTTCAGTGTTGTTCACCATAAGCAACCAGATACCAGGCTGCTATCTATGGATCCTAGCCCCGTGCTGGGATAACAGTTACCACATTCCTAAATAACAAAACAAATTCTTCCCTAGATACATGGAAAGTGCACAGATAATAGAGGTGCTCTGGCCTCCAGGCTTTCTATTTAAAGGCATGTGTACAGTAGCAGTTGCAGGTGCTAAATCTTCCTTATTTTTGTGATCAGCTCCTGACCCCTGGGTTGATATCCAGCCCTTGTTACCTTTTTGGCAGTGCTGCCCATCAAAGCCTAGGGGACAGTCACACTCGTAGCTGTCCTTCTTGGGAACACAGGTGCCTCCATTGGCACACGGTGAGGTCACACAGGGGTGGGCAGCATTTATCAGGTTGATTCCAAAACTGAAATCCTGTTTCACATCAATTGTCCGGTCATTCAAGATAATCTATATGTTCAAAAAAAAAAAAAAAGGTGTGAAAAGACAATGTTAAAACTTCCAAATCCAGAGTATCCTACTGCTAGTTAGATGATTCCTCTGAAAGACTTCATTGAAATGTAACTCTCAAAGCTTGGCCAAATCCTATTCTTGTGTGTTTTCCAGCTGCAGAGGTCCAACTCATACTTTTGCTCCTCCTGATGCCCTGGAGAATAATCTCTTTTGTGTCCTGTGAAACAGCCTCAGGCAACCCCTATAAGGGGTGAAGCTGTGTGGAATTTTCAGGCCCTTGCCTGAACAGTGGTGCAATACTGCTTGTAGCTGAACTGTGAGCTGGGATGGTAAAATTAGATGAGTGCTGCTGAGGAAAAGCATTTCTGAGATCAGAAAACCCCCCAGGAGATGAGTGTTGACAACAGAAATACTAAACAGAACAGCTTGTTTTTCACATTTTCTATTGCTTTCTAGTATCTCATCTTGCCTGAAAGAAGCTAGAGTTAAGATGAATGGAAAACATAAATAATGACTTCACAAAACTGTTTGTATATAAATGGAAGAGAACTGCTAAATGCTGGGATTTTTCCAATATGTCAGCAGCATATGTTCTCCAAAATAAACCAACATTTGTATATCTCAGCTGACATCTCAGCAAGAGAGATTGCATGCAGGCACAGCATCTGATCTCAGCTACATCAAAATAAGTACATCTTTACAAACAATAGATTTTAAAGCCAGGACTGAGAAAGGCAATAGCTGCTCTGGCTCCTGATAACTTGGACAATGCACCTTAAGGGATCCAGACCAGAGAAGAGCACACAACTCTAACAGCAGAAAAAATATCCAGTCCTGTCATGTAATGAACCAGGGAAGACTCCATTATATTTTCAGCTTCTTTCAAAATTTTGTTGCAGAGGTTAACAAGCCTCCACTCATAAAAACACATCTTTTGTTTTAAACTTCTATTCAGTTTTCAGCCCTTGTCTCTCATAATGTCTTTTTCTGCATAATTCCATGACCATGTATCCAAAGAAATCTCATCCTTATCTAGGAACTAGAAGACCACAATAAAGTCACTTCTCAGACTTATCTAACTAAACTAAACGTATTGTGATCTTAGGTCTTTCTATGCACAGCATATTTTCCAGTACTTGGTGATGTTTGTAGCTCTGTTTCTGTATAGTTTTCCAAAATCCTACCATGTGTAAAGAAGGCAACCAAATGTTCCCAGCGCCCAAAAGGCAGGCAGTACTTTTCCTTGACATCCCATTCATGCCTCTGAGAATACAAATCCACCTTACTAACTACATCATAGAGATAAAGGCTCACACTCTGCATTTCCCAATACTTATCAGTGCCTTTATTGTACAACCCCTGACCTTGTAATTGTAACCTCTGTTAATTGCTCCCAGGGTCTCTGTCTTGCATCCCAAAATACATTGTGTTTAGTCAAGTCTACCTTCCCAATGATCTTCACATGTCTGACCTGTTCCTATCACTATTATTCACTCCCTCAGTTTTCCTGAACTTCGTGCTTTCTGCTGGACAGCTGACAAAGGCAGTAAAAAGTGTCAGACTGAGTGACTGAACCATTTACACTGAACTACAATTATTTTTCTATCCTGGAGCAATTGTTAACTGTAGAGCTTTAAATTATTTTTTTTTTAAAAAAACCCTACTATTAAAATTGTGGGGTTATTTGTTATTTCTTTGCACTAATCTGATGCAATTCACTCCTCTAACACTGTGAGGATTCAGGGCCAACCTTTCAACTTTATCCAATTATTTTAGGTATGTTTAGAAAGAAAAATGTAAGTTCAGCTTGCACTTTCATTTGATGATTTACTAGGCCTTTACAAACTGCACGCATGCTGAGGTGACCACACGGGAACATCATCCCTAAGGTCTGCTAACAATGGAAAACATCTCCTCCATTTATGTGCCTCATATAACATTGTAAGAGGGGAAAGCAGTATGGTGCTCATCTCCATGGTGGTGTAAGATGCACTAGGCAGACTTTTCACTGTGAAATAATAATTTAACCACTTCATGTTGGGCTCCTGAGGAGAAATCCTTGATTATTTTGAATATTGCCAGTCGAATAATGGCAGGTTTGCACAAAAAGCATGCATGGATACAACAGAAATAAATGCCCACAGTGTGTTTCTCTGGGCACACACCTTCTGGATGCTCCCACTGAAGGGTCTGAGTATCCCAGAGTTCTTCTTCACATCATCATAATTAGGGACTCCACCAATGAATATTTCAGAGCTGCATTTAATCTGTGTAAAAGCCCCCTGCAAGACACATAGAATAATATTTTATTAGAGTAGCTGGAACCATGCTTCTATCTTCAGATGAGCCTACATGAGTTGTCCTATAGCTTATTTCAATGCTTCTTCTTTGTACAATCAAGAAAGCCATTGTGGGACACTCTTGACTGACTTTACACTATCCCTGTCAGAAGTAGCTGAAAAATCTCAAGTATTTCAAAATGGCAATACTGAAGGAAGAAAGAAAGGAAAATGACTCATTGTGTTTTCTGACTACACATCTAGCTATATTTGCAAAGACTTGAGGTACAGTGATGTAAATCTGGAACCAGAATTGGGTTCATAAAGCTAAAATCAGAGCAAAGTTCATGCAGCAGAGACTCACTCAGTATTTCCAACATCTAAGAGATAACCTACTGGAAGATATGGGGCTAAATTAAAGAGACATTGAGTTTGCATCAATTACCAGAAGCAGCTGCTCAGGATACCTGATGGGAATATTCAGGATCCTGGAGTTAATGGGAAGACATTTAACAGCTAAATACAGAATAACTGTGTAACTCCAGTCCTGCAGGAGCTTCTGTGCCTTCATGGTTCCCAGTCACCCTCCTCTTGGAGCATTGCAATGCAGCACTTAAGAGGAAAAAAATGGGAGTGTTCACCTTAACTCATCTATCTAAAGAAATCTTGAGTGCTCCAGTCAAATGTTTCTCACTCAATTTGTTTCCTGACAGACAACTGGAATTTCAATTTGTTTAAATTTTTGAAGAAAAGTCAAAGTTTTGATAAAAAAGTTTCCCAGTTTTCTGAAAAGCCTGCTATGAGATTTTTCTGCTATGGGATTTTTTTGCTACAGGATCTGGAGTCTGGTTTTCTGTCTGCACTCTCCACTAGGTAAAAGACATTTCCCATGCAGGTCTAGCCTTGACTTTTATCAAGACAGAAAATGTATCTCTGTGCAGGCATTTAAGTGCTTAGAGTGAATATCCTGCTTGGTACAAGTACAGTTTCACTTTATCACAAATTTGACTCACTATGATCACTTGGTGAGTGAAGAACAAAAAGCAAGTCATCAACTGTCTAACTGCTCCAGCACTTACTCTGGCCTGCAAATTACTTTAGCAAGAAGAAGACAAAGAAACAATTCTCTTCAGGCCTACCTTTCCAGGACAACATTCAGGAAGAGGTAAAAAAAAACTGGGCATATACTTTTCAGCACGATACTTCCCCAAATTACACCTCTCATAGTGCACACATTGCTCAACAGACTTGGCCACAACAAGAGCCAACAGAAAAACCTCAGGAGGATATATGAGCCAGAACAAAAATGGGAGTCCAGTTCCATGTCAGGAGCAGGCACAGTCGGGTTCCAGTGGGATCCCTGCCTTTATGGGTGTCCTTGCCCTCAGAGGCAAGACCTTACGCACAAATTCCCAACTCTGGGCCTAAGAAAATGTTACCCTAAAGTGTACACTGTTTTAAGCTGGTAAGAGCTTTGAGAGCAACTGTCCAGTCTACCATGCAATCAGTTTGCATGTCTAACAGCTGCCTTCAGGACAAGTCTGCCAGGAGCTCACCTCTGCCATCCCTTCCACTGGCCTCTGCGTGTCCACCTGCAGGATCCCATTCTTGGCCGTGCGAGACACTCGCAGCTCGTGCCACTGGCCCAGGCTGACAGGCTCCTCACTCCTGTTTTAAGGGCAAGAAAATTTTCAAGCATGTAACACTGTGCCTTTCTGATACTCTGCAATGTTAAAAAGTCAAGTCCTCTGGGATGATTTTCTAAATAAAAAAGAAATATCAGCCACTGTGATTCTTCCCTTATAAGGAAGTAACAATCTTCTGAGCCCCATCAGCAAAGACCATATATCTAGAGCAAATAACAAGCACTCTAGTTTTATTTATAAATGAAACACTATCACCAGCACACACTTTAGACACCTCTGTGCTAGTTTATCTGCTCAGTCATTTATAACACATAAAAATGTGTTTTTGTCTCAGCTGTACATCCTCAATTCACTAAAAGCTTCCCACTTAATGGTTGGTCTAGCCCCACATTCTTCATCCTTTTTTAAATCAGAACTACTTTGTGTTGGTTTATCAGCTCTATTTATGCATCCTGTTACATTGACATTGACACACACACATGCAGCCCGGATGCTGTACATAGAAGGGAAGTAATTAAAAAATTATCCTAATGATGTGATGAGATCTTGGCTAAGAACAATAATCCCCAGTTGTGCAACGTATTCACCAGTCTCAAAGGAAGCATTTTTAAACAGTTCTTACAATCTTTACTGGCACAGCACTAATATGAATAGCAGCCTGTATGAAGGGCAAAACCACATTCCCCTTCACAAGTTCTATAGATCTTTGTATCTTGTTTTCAAACGCCATTTTACTACACTGCTTAAAACATTTTATGTCTAAATGAGATGTAGCAGACTTTCCTCCAGGAGGAATGGAAACTTGTGTTTGATTTACTGACCAAGGTGGAAAAATCAGAACTGTGTTATCTCAGACCCCTAAGACTTCCTAGCTTCAGTAAAAAAATACACAATTTCTGGGGATGAAATAATGTTTTGTATTTTCAGAATACTTGCATTTCAAAACAAAACAAAACAAAAAAGTATTTTGAAATGAAAAACATGGAAAAAATTGTAATCTGGAATAGTGAGTCAATAGTGATTCAAATCTGATTTAAAAACTTACATAATTTTGAAAATATGAAAGTAATATTTTCTTTTTTTTTCTTAACAATCAACATCAGTTTTGAAGCATTTCTGTTGTGGTTTTTTTTTCTGATCCTTCAAGTTTTGGTAAAGCTCATTTTTGTCTATTTTAATGATGCTGGCAGTATTACTTGACACTTCTGAATGATACTTGGTTCACAAAACCTCCACTAAAAATATTATCAAGCAATGCCAGTCACTCGTCCTCCTTCTTATGTAGCACCATTGAGGGTTTAACTGTCTTGGGTAAATCAACAGCTAAGGAAATCTAATCACCTTGAAGAAGTCAACATATACACATAAAGGAATCAGATAGGTTTGGCTACATAGTAAGTGGCCATACAGACATTATCTCCTCTGCTGCTTAGGTCTCATCCTGCTGACCCTCCTGCTTTCCTAGATTTAATTACAATCAGGGATGATTAGGCCTTGCAGAGTCATCACTTCAGAGCTCTTTTGTGGAATCATGGGCTTTTTGAAACCACCATGAGTTTGGTAACACTTTCTTGTGATGTTTGAACATTCCTGTCTCTTCATGTGCTGTGGGGTTACTTTTTCCCATGTAAACCAAAGCTTAAAAAACATACCAGATCATGAAGACCCTGATGCTGCTTGGCCAAGGGAATTCCCAACAGCTTCTCCTCTGAGACATTTCAGTGCTCAGATTCTGCATCCCTTCTGCCTGTGGAGCCCCCAGAGCACACTGTGCTGCTTCCATCTATCAGGAAATCACAACCTTCACCAGCATCAGCTCTCCTACTGCTGCAGCTGACATACACAAATAAGCTTGCCTCATCCTAATTATAAAGTTATTATGGCTGTGTTCTCATTATTATACAAAATCTAACAGCCTGGAGGTCCTATGGCAGAGGTATCAGGATGATCAGAGCTATACCCCTGTTACAGACGCAGTGTAGGCATGACACAGTATGATTAAAATGGACTTTTAAGTGGACATTGACCAGGCAGGCATGAAAAACAGAGAATCTATTTGTCATATTTAATCTCTGACAGAGCTGATGACAGAGTGCAGGTTGCGCATTTTATCTAGAAAAAGAGCTAACAGGACAGCCTGACAACTTTCACTGAATCCTGATGGTCTCCTGAGTCTCATCCATTCCTCAGCTACCTCACCACGCTCTTTTCCTCCAGTGCATGTAGCTCAGGCAGTAGCTGCCATCCAGCTTGCTCTTCTGCTTTCCAGCAGAAAGGGGCAGTTTCTACTCCCAGGCATATGCTTGTGGCTCACTCTACATTTCATAACACTACATATCAGTTAAAATGTAGTACAAGGTGTTTTGAAGTGCTACAATATTCTTGGAAGAAAAAAATTCTACTGTAATATTTTATGGTTGCCAGTAACAGGAATTAGAAGGCTGCAATCACTAAAGATTGAAGGTAAGAAGGGCTATTCTGAGTTGGAGAAAAGGTCTCCAAAATTAGCTATTTCTGCCACTTTTCAGCAAGAGAATGGAATAGGGCAAGTATGAAGTGATTCTTCCCTTGATATATCCTCTCAGCTTCTGGCAACTTGTCATTTAGCAATTTCCTGAGTCAGAGGCTGCATCCGTATGACTGCATTTGATCTCCCTCAATGGAGCTTTCTTCAAATTTCTCCAATTTTTTTTAACCTATTTATAGTTTTGGCATCTGTAACTTGCTGTGACAATTAGTTTCCACAACTTATTTATGTACTCCTCTGAAAAAAAAAAAACCAAACCCCAAACCCAAAGAAAAAAAGTCTTATTTTCTTTGGTTCCTTATTTTCTTTGCACATTGAAAAAATACCGAATACTCATTAATCTCCATGCCATTTATTATTTTAAAACTTCTATCATACTTCCACCAAAGTATCTTTCTTTTCCAGGCTGAAAGGTCCTGCTGCGGAAGAGTTTTCCTGCTGTGGAAGATATTTCATTCCCTCTCCTGCATGTCAAAACTATTCTTCCTTCTTAATTTTGCTAATTTCTTTTGAAATGATGCGACCAGAATAGCAGCAAGTTTTCAAGACAGGGTGCATTGTGGGCTTCAGCAGAGGCATTCTTCCTTATTCCATTCCTAATAATTCTCTGCATTGTACTTAGGTATCTGTATTTGTCTCTAAACAGCTTGCTTTGCTTCCACAGAGCTATCCATGACAACTCCAGGATCCTTCTCTGTCTGACCACACTAACTGTTTTTCCACAGCTGTGCATTGTTAGGCTTGTGCATTATTTTGCATTTGCTTCCTTTATATTTCATATCTAATTTTGTCTGCAAAACTGAATGGGTTTGTTTGCTTGAGTCCTCATTCATTGCAAAATCAGTGCATTTTCCCTAATCACAGTATAGTCAAAATTCCTGATGCCCATCCACAGGAATCATTGGCATGCAAGACTTGCAGAGTGTACACATTTTGCATAAACTTTATATAGATCATTTCTAAAAATCAGGTCAGCCTGGTCAAACTGGCAGCCTCCTGGGCCATAATCCAAGATACTCAGTGCCTCTGTTCAGCCCAGTGCCTTTTCAGAAAGCCCAGGAACAGCTGCCCAGTGACTGGGCACTCAGCTACACAGGGGGAGAGAACAGTGGTTTTGAGGTATTTCATTGCTTCTATCCTCCTAGACATTAATTTTAGGATGCAATGAGTCACTTACAGAAGGTCTGTCTGGGAACTGTGGTGACCAGGTTAAACCACATATTTATGTTTTAGACAGCTTACGTTGTATAAATTGGATGCTAGCCTCAGGTCCCTCAAAATCAGCACTATGAGGAAGTGGAGGGACATGGAGCTGTCTCTTCTTGCCCCACCTCCAGCCTGGCACCCCTGCTTGGAACTGGAAATCAGAAAGGAGGATGCTCACATAAGTGCCAATATTGTGAAATCCTATGGCTAGAAAGTATACGCATAAAATCCCCTAACAGTGGGGATATACCTATACCATAACCTATACCATAGATCCCCTAACAGTGTCATGGGAGCAAGAAGGGAATTACTGCAATACCATACAGATGCAAATATAACATGTTCAGTAAGACAAAGCATAAAGCTTTGAAATACACTGACATAGGAAAAAAATCCTGTATCCTTGACCAAAATTATTGTGATTAATAGTGATTCTGTGCTTCCTCAGAAGCAGGCCCAAGAGACCAAGGGGCTCGCACACTTCATGACAGGCTGTGACCCTTTCCAGCCCCCTCCTCTGCTGGATGAGCACCGTGGCACTGCTGGGAAGCAAACACCAGCTTTGGGAGGTGTTAACCATGCATTTACCTGATAACAGCTGTTCCTGAGCCGCAGTCAAACCTGAACTCCACGTAGCCAGCCACCAGGGTGATGGAGAGGAAGTCCTTGCTGTCTGTGTCGTAGCTGTACAAAAGGACACCAGTCTCTAAATCTGGACGAAATGTCAGCTCAAACTCCATGAAGGAAAGGTAATTCTGTGGTTCCAAGGGCCAGGGTGTGCTAGCAAATGATCTCAAGGATTCGTTGAACTGAGGTACGGCCAAGGTGAGTGCTGGAAACCCAGAAATCACAAGCAGGTCACTTGAGGCTCAAACATAAAGGATTGACTCTTACCAACCAGTGTCTGTTCCTTGTGTTAAGTACTTAAGCTAATGATTAGCAAAACAGCCTGATTTTTTTTTCATCTAAATTGAAAATATTTTATAATCCTACCCAATAATAGTTAATCCATTCCTTTTCCAAGAATATATTTGTACTGTAAAGCATTTTGTACCTTTTCTTTAGTGATTCATAATAGTGCCTCTCAAAGTAGCAAGCATGCACACAGTGGGTGGTAGCATGAAAATTTCTACAGCATAAAAAATAACACCAGATGTATTTTACTACTTGCATCTCTGATATTAGCAGGCAATTGACATTATGTCCTTTACATTTCAAAATATACAACTGACACTGGTTTTAGAGGAAGGATTTTTAGGATTAATATGCAGCTGTAGAGTGGTACATTATTTTAAGTTCTGAATAGGAATTTCAAGATGCTTAAGCACAGTTAGTTTAAATAAGCAAAGAGGTTTGAGAATTACAGATTATGTAGGAGCTGGATGTAGCTCCAAAGCAGTAAGGGAAGGATTTCAGTACCTGACTTTAAATAGATAAATTAACAAGTATTCTCTTCTGTCAGTGTAACAGTATGAGACCTCCTCAGATGTCATTAAGTGGAAAACACATTGAACACTAAATAACACACACAAAGAAACAGAGGAATCCCAGTATCCACTCACCTTCCTCACAATGATGACCCTTAAATCCAAGAGGACAAAGGCAAATGTAAGAGTCTGCTTTGCTTGCAGTGCAGGTGCCACTGTTGATGCAGGCTGCCTCATCACAGATGCCACTGCTACACTCACCTAAACACAGGAGTCAGACCATCAAGTTATTGGAGAAGTTTGTCAAAGAAGATTTATTTGGCTGTTGATCGCTGCTACTAACCAACACAATTTGCTCTTATGCCTAGCTTCTTTCCCAATTTGTCAAATGGTGTGTAATTTAGAAAAGGGAACTTGATAGTTAGTATTTTTTTTTATATATAAGACCAGCAAGACACCTTATAAATAGCAAAAAGTAGCTCTTAGAAGCAAATCATGATAGAAATAACATTCAATCATTCCTTGGTCTACTTATTTTCTGCTCTTCTTCCTATTTTCTCATAAGATACAAATTTCTCTGAATTGTTTACATGCACCAAGCCTGGTTTAATTGTAATTATCTTAAGTGCTTCTTTGCTCACTATAAATTCATGCCATGCTGAGCATGGGAGGTGTTAATCATTATCAACTAATCTTATTAACCAAAATGAGGTTGTCGACCCTCTTGTCCACACTAAAAGGGATCCATATCATCAACATATGGACTTTTTAAGAAGTATCTCTACTATGCTGGCCCATCAACTTAAATAACAAGGAGGTTTTTTCTTCTTGCTGGATTTTAGCTGAAATCATTGTAGAACAAATAAATTCTCATTTGCTTTTTAAAACGGATATCTATAAAACTGTCAAACTGAAACTACACAACCATCAAATGTACACCTGATTGATGTTCTTGTTGAATTTATTTTCTCCTTTAGTTTCTGATCAAATAACTCTCCCCTCATCAATAGTAACAAGCTGATTACATTATCTGTATACATTAAGAGAGACCAAGTTGTGGTGTACAGTGGTAAGCACACCATTTGGAGGGGCTTAGTCTCTTTTAACAAACTAAAAAATTACACATTTATTTTGAGGGACATTGAAGTATCACCTCTGAGATGATAAAGGTTTCATGAGGCAGTTCTGGCAATAAACACTGGGGAAGTGTTTTGCAACTTGAAGTGATTAAAAGAAGTCTTAAAAAATTATTGCAAGAAGGGGATATGCACTTTTGTTTTTGTTTAAACACAGCACTCTGATTGCAAGGACAGTTTCAAGAGCAGGTCTTTACACATCTTCAGTAAGGCACTGGTGTTTGTACAGCACCAGCTTTACAGTTTGAATTCCACAAACAAAAATGCAGACGTAAATGGTGGATGTGCTGGTCCAATCACTCTGCTCTCCACAGTGGAAAACAACCTTTTCTAACTAACTCAGGGCAGAAGCAGAAACAACTCACAGGTCGTTTGGTACCACTCCCTGATAGACCAGACTTATCTCCTATTGCTCATCTACAAATCTCCTAAGAGGACCACTTTTCATGGTAGGGAGGGCAGGTCTGAGTACAGCAGCCTGTATGTCCATGACACAGGACTCCAGGGCTCACCCGAGGAGCACAGACAAAACATTAAAGTACCCCAGCAGGGAAAAAATGCTCCTTTTCCATGGAAGGGGACAGTTCTATCTGCCCCATGCCCAGCCATGGGATCAGGGTGCTGGCTGTGCTCATTAAGCTGTCTTGCACTGTAATGGCCACAATTAAACCAAGGCAGGACAGGTATCTTGTCCCTCAGATCCCTCATACACTCACCAACTATCATGACCCTGACAGAATAGCACTAGCCCTGTTTTACAGGCAAGGAAACAGAGCCAAGACATGTGTAAACAAGGATCTCTATGCATCAAGTGTGTGATCTCTGTGCATCAATGCTCATCTTTGCTGCCTCTGCTCCAGAGTTAATGTTGACAGTGTGTTCAAACAGATCAGAGTTAAACAAAGTCTTTGAGAAACAGAAAAGAACAAGGAAGACAACAGCAACAGGACCAGTCACGGGACCCCTGATTTGAGAAACAGCTTGAACTGGAGTAGTCTTGATGTTTAAGGACATTGCTCTCCCAATGTCCCAGTGGCTTTTCACAGCCTTTGGGCCAGCATAGGTGACTATGCTGACGAGGCAAACCACAAGTGTGGTGGCTGCATTTGCTTGGCTCCAATGGCAGATGAAGATGAGAGAAACTGCATCAGGACTCCCACGTCCTGCCATGTCTGCTCCAAACCATGCCCAGTGGTTGGACTGTCCTCTGCTGCTCCCTCAGCTCACAGTAGGATCTCTGCTGTAGCCAGAAGGGAGAACAGAGAGATGGATGGACCCCTCTCCTCACCACCCTCAGTTCTGTGATCCATGTAGCACAGCACTCCCAATTTATATACTGTGCCAACAGAAAAAAATCCCCAAGTGACTAACTTGCAAAAGTCATTTCTAAACCCTAGCAGAGCTTACTTGCAATTTTTTTGAGTTATACTTACATGACCTATTGTTTGCAAGTCTCTTCTGTTACCGTTTCATATAAATGTGTGCAGTGACACAAGGACAGCAAGGCTTTATCAGTCAGTTTCGAGTCACACATGGCAGAGCACAGCATTTATTTTCACTGATGTTGATTGTTAATGCAGCAGTATGTGGAGCATTCATGGATGGGAATGAAGCTAGCTGCATCCCAAAAGGCAATAGAGATTAGGGCAAGAGTAGTTCAGCAGGGCTTTCATCTGTCTAAATTCCATAGATTCTCAGTCTATCGTGAAATTACACTCTGATTCCAAAATTTTACTCTTTTCAGCAACTGTTTCTTTGGCCAGTCTGTTCTACCCCTACATTGCACAGAAGTTTGGCCATGTTATCTAGAGAATACAGCGCAATTGTTACGAAGTTTCTCATAAATCATTTCCTTCTTGGAATGTCAGATGCACAGCACAGAAGAGAAGAAAGATGACTTTGTGGCTGAAGCATGGCAGGGAGAGTTCAGTGGTATGGAATCTATTTCTTGCTGCTAGCACTTGCCTTCTGTCTTGGGTTTACCCTTATACTGTTTAGACTGGGAGATCACTAAAGCAAGAATTTTGTAGCCCTGCCTTTTTCTAAGTGCCCATTAAAAGGATGAAATAGATGAACAAATAAGACAGGACTAGTTAATTAGCTTCCCTACTTCTCCATTTTTTACTCTGTGAAGGAAAAATAATTTTATAACAACACTTCAAAAAGCTGCTGGAAGTATTTATTCCAAGCTATTTTTAAATCACATCCATGTCTCTGGATAGCAAAACAAAGGACGGTATACAGGAAAGCCTATATGCTTCAGCAGTGGCTGGGTGTAACACAGAAAGCCCTCTGTAACATCCACAGGGCCTCAGAGATCCATGTGTTACTTTGGACAAGTGCAATGATGTCTTTAGGCAAAATGCATTTTGTTGGGCCCATATTGTTTCAAAGGCAAGCTCAGCATACAGACTATTGATTTCTGAGGACATGACTGTGTCAGTCAGGGGCACGAAGTGGTGCCCTGAGAGCTGCTGGCAGAAACACCGGCGCAGTTGTAATGATATCTGCAACACAGATCCTACTGTTCGCTCATGAAAATGGGTTTACTACTTGCTGTGCACAGGGTGTCCTCAAAGGGCTTGCTGGTCCAGTGTGATGAACTGTCCTACTACAGACCCAGCAAGAGCAATGTGCAAAGGAACAGAGGAAAGCCAGGCCAAAAGTAGAGACCACGTCTTCCCCGCCTCAGACCTGGACCATCGCTCAATTTGTCCCAACAGGATAAAAAGCAACCCCCGGTTAGTCACTGATTAAAGGCCCCACACCATTACACTCACCAACGTCAGCACCACTGAGAGCTTTCCCTAATGGCCAGGGTCTCATGTCAATTGTCTTCCCATTGATGCTGAGGGCCTGGACGCAGCCCTGGAAGCCGCGGTTGGTGCCGGCGGCCCTGACCAGCCAGTACACGCTGGGAGCACCGCCAACGTAGAAGGGAGTCTGGAACGTGATCTTGCTGTACTGGCCCTAGGGGAGAGCAGAGCACAGCACGCTGTATAACAGATATAACACAGCAAAAATCATTAAGCCACAGTGCTTTACAATCTATTTTCTTCCCCCATGAAAAACTGTGTCAGGAAATGTTGTTTCATTGGTAATTCCTTCCCATTAGTCATTTCCTAAATCAGTCCACCATTTGAAACAAAACTTTTTCACCTGTATCCCATCACGATAACATGAACTACTAAAAGCACAATAAAAAAGACTAGAAACCACTGCTTTGAGGAGAAAGCATGGTCTGTCTTTTGCTGTGATTTCTTCCTTTCTTTCTGCCAAAAAATTGTTTGTCTTCTAAACTGCAAGCCCTGAGGGATAGACCAATGAGATATTGTCTTTTGGACAGAACCCAGCAAGTGTTTGGTATTTAAAAATTATGAAATGACAAAAAAGGTAAAAAAACAAAGAGAAGGCAAAAGCCAGTAAAGTCGCAACTTCAGCGGGGTTCTGCTCACTTTGCAATTGTTAAAAGTACTGCCCATCTCTTTAATAAATCTATAGAAATCTACATGTATAAGTTTACTAAAATTGCTACAGTGAAAGAAAAAAAAACATCAAAACCAACAGAACCTTTTTGGACCACTGACCCAAACTCCAGGCTACTGTGGCCAAATGAGTCACAATTCCTTCCACAAACTGATCAAAATACTACTTTTGCCTCCTACTCAACAGCTCTTTCAAAACCCCACAGACCTTTAGAAGAAAATAGTTAAAATTCTCAGTTATTTGGGGCCAGGTTTTACCAACCTGTGCTTTTGACAGCACTGACCTCTAGCCTAAAATCTTTCAGGATTTTTCACCCCTGCCCTGCCCCCATAGTGCTTATAACAATATATTCTATCACCATAGCCTAGATTTGGCCAGGCTAAATAAGCTGAGGTTATTGAGTCTGCAGGTGCTCACTTGCACAGTACACTGCAGAAGCTGTACACATCTCTCCTGATTCACATCTGCCCTTTGCATGGCCTCATAGCATTGGTAACTGCAACACATGACACACTGAAATTCTTTCCTCTGTCATTGCCAACTGATGAGAACTCAATACACTGCAATTTTTTCTCTTCAGTGCCTGCACATAAAAGTGGAAAGTAATAAGACATCTGAAGCTGCTTTCTTTCAGGGCTAGGGATGGCATGTTAATAGTGGCTATCAAAGGAAAGACATCTGAAACAATTTGAAATTGCCTTTTCTTCCAGTGCCTTAATTTTGTTTTCTGGCCCAGCAACAGATGAGCAAGTCAAAGCATCTTCCTGTATTATATTTTATCTTGTCAGCCTTGTATGAACTTGCTGGTGTTATCATAAGTCAGGGCAGAATGTCTATCTCCATTACTATGCTTAAATCATTGTCCAGAATATGCATGTAATTATACCTCTGTACACAAATCTCATGTGGGTATATGCATCTTATACATAAATATATACTCATACACACATATGCATCTCATTTTTATGTCTGAGGAAGCAGAGCAGTTCTCTGAGGCTTGAAAAAGAAAACAATCAGGGACAGCAGCTGAGCAATCTAGTAAACTTCTAATGGCCTGTATTAGAGACTGGCATAGGGTAGATGAAGAGTAGCAGAGCAAACACGGAACACAAAGGAAAAGAATGATGGGATTCAGCCCTGAGATATCTATCTCTGTGATTTCTAAATTATGTATTTGGAAGAATAATCTGCACTCTGATCTCAGTTCACTAAACGTCCTAACATCAATAAATAAGACTGTATCTTTTAAATCTGATCAGACTTCTGGTGGCAAGAAAAGAAACATCATCACAACCTTGAGAGACCCCAACATTGAGCCACAAGTGCAGGATTACAAACCTGAGATTTTCCTGTCACTGGAGCATTGTTGTCCATCCTGAGCCAGCCATTCACTCCATCTCTGAACAATGTGACACTGTGCCAGTTCCCCAGCTTGATTTTGTTTTCACTCGTTATGACTCCAACTCCTGTGCCACAGTTGAACCTGGGATCGTGAGATAGAGAGGGCAAGGTGACAATCTTACATTGCCCAAATAACCAAAAGTTGGTTTTAGACTCCAAACATTCTTTTTGTACTCACGAATCTCTCTGTTCCACACTGCATATTATCACAGGAAATTCAGACAGCAAGCCTACATAAGATCTGTTCCAAACTTCATTACCTGTCTTTCAGCGTGGAGAAGATTTTGCATTCTCTGTTCGAACCAAGCGCATTGCTAAGCTTGCTAAGCTTGCCAACAGCTGAAACTCTTTCAGGATGGAGGGTATTACAATCTGAGCTCCTGCTATCACAGTAATTTCTCCTGGGAATTTTTCTAGCTCCCCGGTGAAAGGCAGTGATGCATTATTAACTCTGCTAGTCTACTTAAAACTCAGTGCCAATTGACAGGAAGACCTCCAGTAGAGCTGAATGTGCACAAAATGTCCCATTTTCCCTGACTGTCATGCAGTGCAGGTGAACAGAAACACAACTAAGGCACATCACCCACTTTGTTATTCCCCACTTTTAAAGGATTCACCCTCCCAATTTAGGAGATCCTGGAAATACACTCTCAATTGCTTCATATCTATCAGACTACAAGAAACACTCTCCATCTTCATTTAAGAAACCTAAACAAGGTATCATCTAAACAAAACATATAGGATAAAGTTCCTGGCCCCTTGCTGTCACTACATCCTTTGTTTTGCTACATCATCTGCAAGCCATTTTCTGTGAAGCAAAAACACTGACTCAATATACCATCAATGCACCATCAGCTCAGCAAATACAGTGGCTCACTGGCATTTCTGGTGACATAGCTATGAGCCCCAAACAAATGTCTTAAAGAAAACTGATCATTTTGCCTTTACTCTGAGGTCTGAATAAAAGAACTCAACAGGGTGCATGTTCACACACTAAAGAAAGATGAGAGAAAAAAGTATTGAAGTACTCTTAAATGAAATTATACTGTCCATTTGGTGCACTGTATGGGGCAGAAGTCAAAGACACTGGAGATATTCATCACATGTAGCAGTCCCAGGAGGCAGCAATAGCCCTGTCTCTTTACATCAGATTTGGGATGGAGGTTTTACCTGAACTGGAGGCTACGTCGGATGATTGCCAGTGACATAAAATCACCACGACCATGTTCATTTTCTCCACAGTACAGCAGCAAACCATCCTCGGATTCAGCCTGCAATCATTGCACCAACATGAAAAATCAAAGCCTCACAATTACAGATAAAAGCACGCAGCAGTGGGGGACTTGTCTCCAGAAAAGGGTCATCATTTTTTAGAATGAGTTTTTAACTTGCCGAATCAGAAATTGTTTGATCAGTTTTGAATCCTGCATTTGAAAAACCTGGAAAATCACTGCCTTAATGGTTAAACAATTTAAGACCACCTCTTAAAGTATGATACTATCAGACCAGAAAAAAAAGTCTGGAAGTATTAAAGACTGTCAGACATATCCCATATGAGACTCCTGAGTAAAATGTCTAGCAAGAATGTCTTAGCAAGCCTGGTAAGTGTTGACACATCAGACTCACTGTGTATGAATATGTACACCCTACTTCACATGTTCCATGAGACTGACACTCCTCAAGCCAAACAGGCTGTGCTGGCAGCATTTCTCCATATGCTCATAGCAGCTGACACAGTGGCTTTTTGCAGCCATCTTGCATTTTAAAATGGCAAATTGCCAGGGGAGTGTAAAATCAGCACTGAGGCAACTGATTGCTGCTGCTTTAGTAGCAGTCTCCTTCCCAGATTGTGAGGCTGGGGAGTCTGCTTCATGTGGGGGTAGGGATGCATCCAAGAGCTTGGCCACCTTCCCTACAGGCAGCCCTACATGTTCTGTCCATAGTGAACAGACAGCACTAACACAAGCCAGCATGGGATGTATCCCCACTTTAGTCCTGCATTTTAAGTAATACAATATCCTGGATGTATCAGTAGCCCGTGTGGCAGACTTCAGAGGGAGAAAATAATGTCCACTTACATCCTGCAGAGTGGGAAAGGAATGCTATACATAGGGCAGTGTTTTGCTTAGTATGACAGGATCATCATCTCTTGTCCACAAAGATACTGTATACCACTTCAAAGTCTAATTCACAAAAATTCTGTGTGTTCTTCAGCCTGCAGCTCATCCACCTGGCTGTAACCTCACTAATGTACATTGCTGCTAGTCCACAGCTACCAGTCCCATGGATTCTCTCACACAGTGCCTACCAACCATGGATGAAAACCCTTCAGCTGCTTACAAACTTAATTCACATTCACTGAGGGTCAAGCCAGATCTCCACAGATGAAGGTTACACACAGGTTCGCCACAATTACACTGAAGCTATACTGAAGCTAAGTTACTGCTCTATTGTCCACCACATCAGAGTAAATAAATAAAATTTAAAACACAAGTCCGAGAATTCCTTAAACTTACCCTGAATTCAAGAGTAATTTGAAATGTCTGATAGGACTTTTTCAGTGGTTCAAAGGTGATATATGAGTAGCCAAAGAACTGGGGATACTGGATATTAATATCTGAAAAGCAAAGAGGGAAGCATGTTATTTAGCAGTTCTCTTCTGAATAAAAATCAATATACACATTTAGTACTAGATAACATCAGATGGCAATGAAAGGCAGAGTTCCTCCAGAGACAACCATTAGGCAGTAGCAGTCAACAATCAGTTAACCTATTGCCTTGTCCTCCCACCATTTTTTACAGCTAATTCCTTTATTCCCAAGGACCTGGTGAACTTGGAAAGAAACAGGATACCGAGGGCCAAATAATGCTCAATAGTTTAATCAGAGAATTCAGAGGAAATTTTGGCAGGTTTTCATCCTTGTTGTAGAAGAAAGACCACATCAACTTTATATTTATCTTCTTTTAAGTACTGATTTAAGAAAGAGAGGACAAAGTAATTTTCTGTTCTGCAGGATTACAAAAACACACACATGGGAAATATGGCCAGACTCTAGGCAGCATTAGTCACTGCTACTCTGTAGCTGCTGCATCCAGCATCTGGAGAATCACTGGATGTCTCATAACAGCCCAGCAGCTTCCAGCACTTCTCTCAAGTCAGCTCAGGGCAGAAGCTAAAAGGAGCGATGGGGAAAAGAGAATCCTTGCAGGCATCTTTCCATCCCTGGCTGCAACAGTGGCCCTTTTAACTGCTCTTGTCAAATGGCATTATTAACCTTCACCCTTTGCTGTCTTGTGTTAGATCCTGACACCAAGAGAAAATGAAAATTAGAGATGTCTTACTGCTAGCCACTGTCAGCTGAAAAATTACCTTTGCAGCCTATTTTCCTAAGAAGCACTGAGGAGAGACAGTTTCAGGCCTGAGCTTTTATATGGACAGTGGTTTTAAGTCTAATGAGGAAGGAAGGATGTGGATTCCTATTCCTCTTTGCTATTTAAATACTGAGTTTTCTCACTCAGTTTTTGAATCTGGGTAGAGTTCTCTCAGCGTTTTTGCTTGAAGGCATACATTTTAGGCTGAGTTGAAGGGGATTGGTGCTATAAACCTGAATGCAACCTTAGCAGAGAACAATTATCTCATGTCCTGATCACAAGCAGAACTGACTGGACCAGAGTGCCAGGCAGCTGTTGAATGTGAAGAAAATCTGTTTCCATCAGACTAATATATTATTTAACAATACTGGCTGCTGAAGACAAACTCTGTACAAAGGAGCATTGGCACATGATGTTTACTCTGGAATAACATCCTCCCCTGTGAAAAACAGAGGGTTTGGGCTGGTGTTAATAGACTGCTTTACAAGTTGTATATGGCCTTGTCAGTTCAAATAAATCCTCAACTCTTCATACTTGATCAAGGCCTAAAATCATATCTGCAGCTGTTCCACGTGGCTGAGTCACATCAAATTGTTTTCAGAAGGAGCTCTCTTTGTTCCAGCACTCCAGTTAAAGAAGATGAAGCACCCTCAGTGTCTGTATCCCTGATGCATGACTCTGTGAAACATGAAAGTCTAACATGACCCCGTAGAAGAAACCTGTATCCCTGCTCTGCTGTATGGCACATTGTTGCCAGATCAGATCAGCATGCAGAGGGATGGGCAGATCAGCTCCCTCTTAGCTGGAGGAACAGCACCTCCATAGCCAATGGGACATTTTCTTTTCATGAGTGCTGGCATTCATCTGAATCCTTGGTCACCAAACCAGAAGAAAAATTACTTCAGAGGGAAAAAGTGACCTGCTTAAGGCCTAGTGAGGGAGCTAGACTGACTCACCCAGTGATCTGCTCAGCGTTAACCTTGTGAAAGGGTGGGTTTAGGTCTCTAGAGGGCAGCGAGGGAAGAAGTAGGACAGCCTCCTTCAGCTCAGCAAGTTCTTGCCATGGCTCAGCTGCCCTGAAAAGAGCAGTAGGATGGGTGGAAAGTCCTGACTAACGCAAACACTTCCTCACATGCTTTTTGTACTGGGGATGAGATTTTGTTCCTCCCTTGCCCAGTTTGCCTGACATGAGTGCTACACTGCAGACTTGCAGACCATGGGGAAAGCCTCCTTTGGAGGTATTTTTATAATGGGAGTTTTCTCACATCCCTGCTGTGGGACCAGTATCATCTGGACTACACAGAAAATGGGGGTGGTTCAGGGCTTAAGCTGCTGCTAAAATGCAACTGTCAAAGAGGGGCTGAATGTCTTCACTTTCCATCTGAGGGTGCCATGATTGGACCCTGTCACACCTGGGAGATTAACAGCATACCTGCTCCACCATCCCCTGACTCTAGGTGGGGCAAGGATGATTACCCGCCCCTGTGCATTTTTACACAGGTTCAGCATTCAGCTTTATTAGGGAATTACTTTTTCCCACCTGAGGAAAAAAAAGCAAATGGGGCAATGCCAGAACTGCAATTTGTGGGTAGGGATCCACAAAGCCCAGCTGGCTGTTCCCAAAGTGCACATTGGCAGGCTCTCTGCAAAGCCACTCCTTGACCCAGGCAAAGAGCAGCCAGCAGCCGTGGGCACCCAGAAAGAAGCCCACCTTCCTGGCAGGCCTCCCCTGCTTTGCCCAGGTTGCAGTGGCAGCGGGAGCCGCCGCGGTCGTAGTCGTTGATGCAGAAGCTGTCGGCGGAGCACACGGCCTCGTCGCAGGAGAGCTCGGAGAGCCGCGGCACCGGCGGGGACACTGAGGGCCCCGGGCTGGCAGCAGGGACAGCAGTGGGCTCGGAAGTGGTTGTCAGGACCCGTGACAGGAGCCTGGAACTAGACCCTGGAGTGACTTTAGTTTCGACCAGAAATTTTCTGTTGCCCCCTTTAATAGCAGGAAGTGGTCTGAGCTGAAAGGAAGTAAAGAAACACCAATTCAGTAAGGTTAAAATTCTGTGGGGAAACAAAATTAACGTATTTTAAGATACAGATCTGAGGCAACAAACTCATCCTCAATGAAGAAAAAGAAGGGACCACATCACTATATCTAAGCACTTAATATCAGATATTAAACTTCTTGACAGGACCAGACACTCTAAAATATTCAGACTATAAAGAAAACAGAAGTGCCAACAACAAATCTTGACATGTACCTCTTCTATATAAATGTCATAGTCTGAATCATCGATATCAAATCCATCACCATCACCAGTCACTGTGTCTGTGATGTACCGATGCCCAAAGCTTCCACTTCCCAACTCCTCAGAGCCTGAAAAGACATAACTGGCATATTCACTTCATATAGTTTTTTCTCTTTGCACACAGCAATTCAGATCTTACCACTCCCCCGATTCACAACACTTAAACCTAAACTGATGCTAATGTTCATGCTGTGCAGACAATGCAAGTGTCAGTCTGGAGAAGGCAGATCCTGTCCAAGTGGTATACACACAGCTTAAAACAAAGTGAAGACGTTCATTTAGTCACTTACTAGGTGATTTAACAAAAAAAGCAGGCAAAGCTCAGTTCTCTCTCTGCAAACTGACTTGTATTCATCATTTTTCCAGGACAAAGGTTTCAGACTTTTTTGACTGAATTGTTTTTAAGTCAAGCTTTTCCCTTTTGGAAATACAGTGCCTTACTGGAACAGCAAAAGAGAAAATAAATAGGAAAAGCAAAAGTGATGTGTACAGGTAAGATACACTCTATTTAGGACTTAATCTACCTCCACTGACTCAAAAACTCCTGAAATTAGCGTCCTGTGTGTATTCTTATACTATTTTTTAAAACACAATTCAGCACCTTGAAACAAAAAGCATGCACAAACACCTTCACCCAGACGGTTGTTGGGCACTGGAACAGGGTCCCTAGGGAAGTGGTCACGGCACCAAGCCTCACAGAGCTCAAGAAGCACTTGGACAATTCTCTCAGGCACATGGTGGGATTATTGGGGCTGTCCTGTGCAGGGCCAGAAGTTGGACTCCATGATCCTTCTTGGTTCCTTCCACCTCAGGATATTCAGTGATTTCTATGGCCATGTGTTTTGCAAGTACATAATCTACTTCTGCCACTTCCCAGAGTGCTGAACTGCACTTTGGAGGACTCTGGGCTGGGAATGGACGGTTTGAACAGTAAGGGGATCCTCATTTCTATTTCACAGAAAGTGTCTGTACTTTTCTGCACTTCACATAGCAAATTCTGCCTAAACAGTGGTTTGTGCTTTTTAACTATTAAAATTCACTAGGTATTGTAAGAAATACAGTAAAAGTAACCAAACCATTACAGTTACTTGTCATTGCAGTGAGGCTGAGAACAAATGTCTTTAAACCATTAAAACAACAGACTTATATAACTGCCTTTTCCATACAGTATTTTTCCATCACTTAAAAACAACATAAGCAACCTTTGGTTTACAAAGTCTCTCTACTAAGCTGAGTGTACCTACCTAAATCTTTTTATACTCTCTCCTCCTTTGCTGTGATTGCAACCCAGAATTCCTGGCAGGCAACTGTGAAATCCAACATATGTGCATCAGAGATGAATGTGCGCCCTGGCTGACTGACTGGCCACACTCCCTATGCTCTGCAGGGGTTACTTATCAATGAGCTTTGCACATTACATCAGCATACAGAAAAATTAGAAACAAATGAGTAGAGATAATGAAGCATACACACTTGCAACATAGAAAGCATGCTGGACTGGGGCAGAATGTGTGTAAGTCTTTCCACTCTAACATGTATACCTAGTCATCTGTAAATAATACATTTTATGTGTACATTAAATAGAAGTATTCAGCACTGAGTTCAACCAAATGAGCCAAGAAGAGAGCTCCCCTCTATGACTGGTAACAAGATGAGGCAAATAGGACAAACTACATCCAGATTATTTCTGCTACTGACTGTGAATGCACAGGCAAAGGATTAAGTGTTAGGAAATCAGACTGCACATTTATGAACTGGTCCCAGTCCTACAAAAACTGGAATGAATTTCACCATGCTGAAATAAAAATGTAAAAAAACCCTCTTACTCCTAATATTCACCTTTATAATCATTCAGGTTAATCATCATCCAGAACAATTTTACACCAGGCAGGAAGGAAGCTAGGGAGACTAAAGCAGAGAAGAGTAGAGTAGAGTAGAGTAGAGTAGAGTAGAGTAGAGTAGAGTAGAGCAGAGTACAGCAAAGCAGAGTAGAGTAGAAAATTATTCAGTTGGAAGGAACCTACAATAATCATCTAGTCAAGCTGCAAGTTCTACCTATCATTGCATCACATCCCTTTCTTTGGTAAACAGTGATTCTGTAAGACATGCATTTCTACAAGAGAGTTCCAGTGTGTAAAGCCACAAATATATGCATTACAAATATGATTTGCAGTTGGATTGGTTTTGCAATGCCTGGTTTTTGTAGCAGGGTGGGGTTAGAGGAGTGGCTTCTGTAAGAAGCTGCCAGAAGCTTCTTCCATATCCAGCAAAGCCAATCTCTGGTGGCCCCAAAGATGGACATGCTGGCCAATGGGAAATGATGGCAATGCCTCCGTGATAACATATTTAAGAAGAAATCAAAACAAAGTTTGTGGTGCAGTTTTAATCCCTGACAGAGAAGAGTAGGAGATGAGAATATATGAGAACAACATGTGGACATCAAGGTCAGTGAAGGAGGAGGGGCAGGAGCTGCTCCAGGCCCAGAGCAGAGATTCCCCTGCAGCCCCTGGTGCAGCCCTGGGTGAGGCAGCTGTGCCCCTGCAGGCCCTGCAGGCCCAGGGGGAGCAGAGATTCCCCTGCAGCCCCTGGTGAGGCAGCTGTGCCCCTGCAGGCCCTGCAGGCCCGGGGAGAGCAGAGATTCCCCTGCAGCCCCTGGTGCAGCCCTGGTGAGGAGCTGTGCCCCTGCAGCACAGGGAGGTGCACAGGAATGCAGAGATTCCCCTGCAGCCCCTGGAGGAGCCACAGCAGAGCTGCTGGGTGCCTGAGAGGAGCCTGAGGGAGACCTGTGGGAAGAGGGCCCTGCTCCCAGGCTGGATCAGCCGGTCCCTGAAGGACTGCACCCCACTGAAGAGTGACCCAGTGTTTGAGGGGTGCTGCTGCCCATGGGATGCACTCACACTGCAGTAATCTGCAGGGAGCTGCTGTCCATGAGATGGAGCCATGCTGGAGAAGTTCATGGAGAACTGAATCCCACAGGAGGGACCCCACAGTGCAGCAGGGAGTGACTCCTCTCCCTCAGCAGTGAAAGAAGCCCTGGGTGATGAACTGACCACAATCCCTATTCCCTCTCTCCTTGCACTACTGGGGTAGGAGGTAGATGGAAGGACGGAATGGGGTGGGAAAGGTGTTTCTAAGGGTTTTACTTCTCATCATCCTGCTCTGATTTTGATGGTAATAAATTCACTTCTTATCTCCAAGTTGAGCTGTTTTGTCTGTGATGGTATTTGATGAGTGATCTCTACAGGTCCTTACCTCAACACATGAACCCTTCATAAATTTTTTTCTCCTCTGTCCAGCTGCAGAGAGGAGAGAGAGAGAGGCTTTGGTGGGGGCCCGGCATCTGGCCCAGGTTAACCCAGTCCTCTTACTGGAGAATGTGGGCAATCATGAAGATTTTCAGATAAGGACAGTAACTGGGAGAAGTAATGGGCAAAACAAGCACTGAAAAGTGTTAAGTATTACAGAGTAGAATGATCATGGGGAATTTGTCTTGTAATGGTGGTGAAGGACAAAGGAGTGAATTTTGTGCAAGTTGTTCATTTTTGTTCTGTGTTGTGATAATTTTATTTTGGATGTCATGTAGGGGGGTTTTTTTAAGTTCACCACAAAAGGGATTTATTGGTAATACAATAAATCACAATATCTTTTTAGTACAATATCTTTTTAGTATCACATACAATGTCCTTATTTCTGCCTTGATTTAGATGTAGAAGCTCCCAACAAAGAAAGCCAGCTCCAGTTCACAATTTGCTCCCAGCCTTTCTCATTGGCTTTGTTCATTCTCTTGGCCAAGAGCTTTGTATTCTGCTTCTTCCTTGTTCTTTTGAGTGCCCTGCTTCTTCAGAGCAACATGCCTGCACTTATCCTGCAGCACTTGAGTCACTGGATTTTATGAGCCTTGGTTCTGGGTTTCTTGCCCCCCTTGCTCAGAGGCTTCCTCACAACATACTGGCAAACATCATTCTTCTTAGACAGGTTGGACAGCTTGGGGACTCTGCTGGTCCTCTTAGACAGGGTTGTGTCAGTCATCCCCAGCATGTCCTTTTCACTCTTTTTCACTATGACAGACTTCAGGACACTCAACTTTGCATCAACAATGCAACTACAAATGGATTTGTGCTTTCTCTCTCCAGTTCCTCTGGGCTGATAACAGGAATGCTCCTTGCTGAGCAGAAGGCAGACACATCTGTGAGGTAGGACACCTTGCTTCATGGAGAAACTTTTGTCATTGCCACCACTGATCCAGATGACATATCCCTCCCACTCCTCACCAAGGGAATCAGAATGGCTCCGTGGCCATTTGTTTCTCATAAAATGTTCTCAGTTTGCACCCATTGTCCACTTTAGTGAGCATTTGGCAGCCAGTGGCTGGGAAAGAGGTGTTCAGTTTCATCATGGTCACACCTTGATGCTGCTGGAAGGGGCAGCACTAACTCAGCTCCCAGCATTCACAGCAATTTCCAGCTCACTGAATCACAGCATCACAGAATTAACTATGTTGGAAAAGATCTTTGAGATAATTAAGTCCCACCTATGACCTAAGACCACCTTATCAACAAAACCATGGCAGTGTGCCACATCCAGTCATTTTTTAGACATGTGCAGGGATGGTGACTACAGCACCTCCCTGGGCAGGTGATTCTAGAGCCCAATCACTCTGGAAGTGAAGAATTTCTTCCTAATGTCTAGCCTAAACTTCCCCTGGTGCAGCAAAAGATGTTTACCGCTTGTTGCATCAGTGGTTGGAGAAGAGACTGACCCGCCAGTAACCTAAATCTCTTCTCAGGTAGCTGTAGAGAGTGATAGGGTGTGAGTGATAAGGTCCACTGAGCCCTTTTTTTTTCCAGGCTAAACAACCCAGCTCACTCAGCCATTCTTCACAGGGTTTGTGTTCCAGGCCTTGTTGCCCTCCTCTGGATGCATTTGAGCATCTCAACATCCTTCCTAAGGGCCCAGGCCTGGACATAGCACTCAAGGTGTGGCCTCACCAGTGCCACATGCTAGGGGACAATCCCTGCCCTGCTCCTGCTGGCCACACTGTACCTGAGACTGGCCAGGATGCCACTGG